GGGGATAATTTGGGTGAATCAAAGATTAGATTTTTGTACAGGGAACGCAATCTGGTGTTTTAGGTTGCCTATTGTAATGGTCTCTGGTTGTGTTTTTCCAGGTAGCTTATCAATTGTGGAGAGAAGCTTTTGCTATGTACCCATGGCCACTTGTTCTGCGAGTGAAAAGATGCTGGGGCAGGATTAGGAGCTGGTTGAGCAATAATTTTCCGGAGGCAGAGGCTACCCTCCGAGGAGGGGCGTCAGAATCTGATATTGAACAATTAGAGAACCTCTTAGAAGTGAAATTGCCTCTTCCCACTAGGGTTCTCTATTGCTTTCATGACGGCCAAGAATTGGCTGCCAAGAAGCTGTCTGGCAATTCACACTTTTTATTGGGAATCATGGGTGGCTACTGTTTTGACAACCATTGGGTTAATGTCTACTTGTTATCTCTTAGGGAGGTGATTGTCAAGACAAGGGCAGTCGCACATCGTCTGGGTTTTCTAAGCAAGTATAAGTACATTGTTGTGGCTGCTTCCTCTACTGCTAGTATTAAGCTTTTTTTCCTTAGTTGTCAATATGGCTGACTCACTGTTGGTGCAAGGAATATTTTAACACTTGGGGAAATGATTCAGTGTGTGCCAAATTCGCTTATTCGGTCTGTGCATGATTCTAGTGGTGATCAACAGCAAGATGCTATGTTGCTATGGTTGGAAGAACACGGCCGTCGCTTAGAAAGTGGCATTATCAAAGTTCATGAACAAGAGAATATCAAAAGTATCAATCTGTTTCCAGAGGTTCCTCCCTTATGTTCTGTAGCAGTAACCAATGGTGTTCAGGTAAATTGCAGGGTGACATGTGGAGTTACTTTAATACCTTTCTTTAATAAACTAGGCAGTTGTAAAATTTTGATATTTATTATGACATTTTCAGTTGTTATTTAATAAGCTATATGTATAGGATTTAAGTTCTGAAAAGCTTCTTGCTCTATTATGATGGCACCCCTTTTCATCCTTTCATTGTTAAACAGGCTTCACTATATCTGTATCCTGCTGCCCTTTGCGAGATTTGCTATAAGTTCCATTTTCATTATTCTTTTTTCTAACAGTATTTAGCTTTTTCCTACTCCAGATTCGTGCCTCTGCCGTCCTTGTTCCAGAGTTTGTTAACTCTCTAGACGATTTCGGGGGGTACTTGTTTGCTTATTCAATCCGCATGTCTCTCCAACCTGAAGGTTGTATCATTAATGGAATGACCTTTGACTCCTGTCAACTTTGTTGTAGACACTTGCTCATCCGTTCTAATGGTGATATAATATCTAATGTTGATGCAAAGGCCATGATAGGAAAGGTAATATCATGCCGGATCATATCATTTTTCCTTCTTGTAATTTATTCTGTTCATAATTCAGCGAAAAGTTTCATGTATGGGAAAAATTAATTTCCACCAGTGAAGAACTGCATCTTTCTTATCCTTTATTAACTTTTTGGTTGCCTATAGTTTTATCAAAATTAGAACTAGAAATGTCTCATCTGCCCAATTCTCTTGTAATCAATTTATTAACATGATATATAGGGGAATTTTAAATTTCCAAAAGAGGCTGTAGATCTCACTCTTTTTCCATCCTGGCAGTACCCTCTCTTGCGTCCGGGTGAGGGAGAATTTGTTTATGAAAGCTTCACACTTCTACCAGCTTCCTCAATCTCAGGTTCTGCCGAAGGTTATTTCAAATTTGTCCCTGGCAGGTAATCTGCTTGATATTTTACATGTGTTGTTTAAGTGGTTATATTAGATTTGATGATCTAGTCAAAGATAAAGGGTATGCTTGGTTTGGTATGCTGTGACCTTTGTGTTACTTAGGTGGTTAAAACTCCAATTTGGTCCCTTTACTTTGGCAAAAAGCTTCTTTTTAATCTCTCTACCTAAAAAAGTCCTTTTTTGGTCCCTAAAGTTTGAAATCCAGCCCTTTTTTAATCCCACTGTTAAGTTTTGCACATGTAGCACATTATCTGAATGGAAATTCTAAAATAGAGGGACTAAAAAATAGTTTTTTTTTCTTAAGTAGAGGGATCAAAAAGGGGTTTTTGCCAAAGTAGAAGGACTAAAATGGGGCTAAAAAAGCCCTTTTTATCCCTCTACTTTGAAATTTCTGTCATCTAATGTGTCACGTGTGCAAAACTTAACAGAAGGATTAAAAAGGGGCTGGATTTCAAACTTTAGGGAACAAAAAGGGGTTTTTTTAAGTAGATGGACCAAAAATGGGCTTTTTACCAAAGTAGAGGGACCAGTTTTAACCTCTTACTTAGGTTGAGGAAGACTGCATTAAGCTAAGAATATATGTTCTATTTGTGTGCCATCTGGCAAATGAATCCACAAATTGCTGGTAGGTTCTATTTGAGGCAAAAAAAAAAAGAGTGTCACGCAGCAACCTAAGTTATTGATCTTTTGTGTGGCAACCTAAGAATATGTTGATATAGGAGTAGATTTTATATTTATACTTTATATTATGAGAATTGGGTACATCTATCAAATTATATCTTGTCATACCCTTTGAAATTTATATAATGATGATGCATTTGTTACCTGCATGCATGGTAGATTTCGTTTCTCATTTACTAATTGGTGATCTTATCTGAATCTTGAATTTGCTAGTTGGTCAATCCTCATGGATTTGAATTTTGTCCAGAATCTTAGATTGAATGTATCAGCCATTAGAATTGGCTGAAAGAGGAAGTTAATTGGTAACTACTTGACCTTTCTAACCAAGTTCTTACTTTTTATTTAATCTTAATAGATTGGCAGACCGAAAAGGTGGCCTGTTTGAAGTTCAAGTGGCAAGGTTCCCCGTAGAGGTGCAAGATTATATTTTACTAATTGAACTTTTCATGGTTCTCCCGAAGCACCGGAACAGAACTGATTCTAAACGTCCTCTGTTAATCAGTATGAGAAGACCCTTTCAGCTCATACTTAAGATACAAAAAAAGTCACGATCCATTCTTTGTTGTTTAAGTAGGTTTTGTGATTTTGTATGAATTTATTCACTTGATATCCAGTGATATTTTTTTAGGTTTAAGTACCATTTTGGTCCCTCAACTTTACACTTTAGCACTAAAATTATCCCTCAAGTTTAAAAAGTATTAAAATTATCTTTAAACTTTTATTTTTAATATCAAAATAGTTCTTCCGTTAGTTAAGTTAAATGACAGATGACACGTTATTTTGCCACAAGATTACATTTTAAAAGAAATAATAATTACGTGAAAAACATACTTGATGAGATTGCATTTTTTTTTTCCATGGGGCATTTTTTTCTTATTTAAATAAAAACTCACTTAATTTATTATTATATTATTCATCTTCTTCTTCCTCCCTTCTTCTCTCTCATCCCTCCGCCCCCTTCCTCTTTCCCAGCCTTTTTCCTCCTCACCTCATCCATGGATTCCCCCAAAAACCAATCTTTGATTTGGGTTTTCTTTCTCCAACTTCATCTTTTTCCTTTCCCTGCTCATCATTCTTTTTTCTTTCTCTTATTCTTTCTCTCTCTGTCTTCTCCCTTCTTCTTCCTCTCTCAAAACCCAGATCTGGGTTTTTCTCGGATTATGTTGGGTTCTAGACTCTAGTTTGGTGAGAAGGAAAAATGGCAGGCAAATTGAGCTGGAAATAGAGGATAAAATTTCACCCTGTAGTTGCGTAGCTCTCTTCTGAGAATTTCGGGCACTTCATGGAGGTCGAGTTCTTCGAACTCCATCTCGAGATCTTGGAGCTCAACCCTCAACCTCCTATTCTCCATCAAATATTTGTAGTAGGTTCACCTCCAATTTACCTCAGTCTGCTTCAGCTCCGACCGATCTGAGGCTGCTTGCTTGGATGCTGGAGAATCGTGCTTCTAGAGAAGCTCATAAAGCTTTTCGAGCTCCTTAATGCTTATGGAAATTGTGGGTTCAGACTGCAGGAGTTATTTTTTTATCTTTATTAAGTTTCTTCTTCTTCTGGCCTTTCATTGCCTCTATTCTTTTCAGTTTCGGGCAATTTGTGCTTATTCATGGAAATTAAATGTTCATGGTGATCTGAATTTTTCTTAAACATCGCACTAAGATTTTGCTCCGTAAACTCTGAATCTTGTACCGGAGCTCGTTTGTTCTTCTTCATCGCGGAAAGTCCTTTCCGATGATGCTGTTTTCTCGAATCGCCATTTGAAGTCGGAGCTTATATTTAATTAATATAATGGAATGATTTGTATTGCTTTTCTTATTATCACCAACTTCATCAAATTGTTAATTGATGTGATGAAACCCAAATCTGGGTTTCAGACAAACCTAGATCTGGGTTTCAAACAAACCCAGATCTGAGTTTCAAAGAGGAAGAATAAGGGAGAAGAGAGAGAGACAAAGAATGAGAAGAAGAAAGAAGAAGGATGAGCAGGTAAAGGAAGAAGATAAAGTTTGAGAAAGAAAACCTAGATCTGGGTTTGCAGAGGGAAGGGAAAAAGGAAGGTAAAAGAGAGAGAACGTGAAAGAGGAAGAAGAGATCTTTTTTTTTTTTGTGACGTGGATGGAAAAAAAACATTATTATTTTTAAATTAAATAAAAATTCCAACTCATAAAAATTATATCCAACTATGTTTTTTTTTTTTCCACGTCATTAGTTAAGAATAAAAGAATTGATTTGCTGGTAAATTAACATGTTACCTGTCCATTTAACTGACGGAAGGATCATTTTAGTACCGAAAATGAAAGTTTAAAAATAATTTTAATACTTTTTAAAATTAAGGGACAATTTTGGTGCCAATGTGTAAAGTTGAGGGACCAAAATGGTACTTAAACCATTTTTTTACATATCCCCTTCGGTTTATGTGAGCATGATCAAGAATTGGTTTTTCTTTTTGGTAGAAAGAGAGAAATAGATAGATACTGCATAGAAATTACAGTAATTCTGGGAAACAAAGTCCCAATAGAGCATTATTCAAGAATTATGTTTGGTTGCTTTAAGAGAAGCTATTTTAGGACCAGGAGCAAACACATGCACTGAACAGAGCAAACTGGCACTAAACCGCGGCCATTTACTTCAAAAAATATCAAATGGACACTTATAGATTACAATATTTGGTTTTAAGTCCAACTTTTGTAGGTTGAAACAGTTTGAATTTTCAAACACTATTTTTTGGATTGCAAGAAGGTGCTTCTAATTCAATGACTCATGTTTTGCATTCAAGTACATTTTTTGTTTATTTATTTTGGTTGCAAAATTTAAATTTTAATTGAAAAATATTATAGTTATAGTATTTGTGATATTATAAGATATGTTATTATATATTTAATTCTTTTTATTTAAGAGTTTATTTATGATATTACATGCATTTATTCATTTAATACCAATGAAATCGTAAATTCTAAATAATATTATAGTTATAGTATTTGTGATATTATAAGATATGTTATTATATATTTAATTCTTTTTATTTAAGAGTTTATTTATGATATTATATGTATTTATTTAATTTTACAATTATATTTATTTAATGTCATATTATAATTATAAATTTATAATTTTACATAATATTATATTTATAACATTACTTATTTTAATATTAATAATTTATTAATTTAAGTGGAAAGAGTTTAATTTTTTTAAATAAAATTTTAAATTCGAATCTTATAAATGAATAAGTAAACGTTAATTTTTTTTTTTATGAAATTTAATGTGATTTGATTTGATATTAAATTTGACTCAATATTAATTGGGGTTTAATGTAGATATTTTTTAAAAAAATACCAAGGGTAGTAAAAAAATAAATTACTTATTTTAATTAATCCAAATTGGCATTAAAATAAAAAATGACTCGTGATAAACATCTAGCAAAAAAAAAAATCGAACCGAATAGTTCTGCACAAGACGAAACTTTCCTGCTTTTAATGCATACCGAAACGGGCCCTTAGCCTATGGTGTGAACCCAACTAGTATTGGATACTGATTCACTGAATCTGAGCAGAGACTCCTCTCCTCCCTCCGTCTTCTTACTGCGCGATATCCGTCGTACGGAGGAAGAAGAAACTGATGAAGCAGAAAGAAGTCAGAGAGATGGGGTCGGAGTTGGTGGCAATGGGAGATCGTCAAGGTTTCCTGTGCCAGCAAAAGTCGTAGGAATTCTGCCTCTGATGATTCTCTCTGGTCCAAATTCTGCTTTGATGAGTTTCATCCATCATTATCAACCCCTCAAGATCCTCTAGGAAACCCAGTTCCCTCTTTCAAGGTAATTGGAAGAAAAAGGGTATTTTTTTAAAAAATTTTGTTTCTCAATTTACCACTCTCATTTCCAGAGCTTTATCATGTTACATTGTTAATTTTTCACCTTTTTAGTTTTTTTTTTTTCTTTTTCCATCGATTTGTGATTGAAATTTGAAACGGGTGATTTTGGAATAATTTGGGGTGAATTGGATGTTAGGTTTTTGGAGAAGTAGAGAGAAGTGCTTCGATTTGGTTTATTTATAATGTATGAATTAAGTAGAGATTAATAAGGGGAGAACAATTCCTGAAAAATGTTTTAAGACTAGAAGTGTTGGTAATGCTCTCTGGTTGTGTATTTCCATGCAGCGTATCAATTATGTAGAGAACTGAGAAGCTTTTACTATGTGCCCATGGCCACTTGTTCTTCGAGTGAAAAGATGTCAGGGAAAGGTTAAGAGCTGATTGAGCCAGATGAAAAATTAGAGAGCCTCCTAAATGTGAAATTGCCTCTTCCTACTAGGGTTCTCTATAGTTTTCATGATGGTCAAGAGATGCCTGGCAAGGAGCTAACAGTTCACTTTTATTGGGAATTATAGGTGGCTACTCTACCTTTTGGTTAATGTCTACTTGTTACCTCTCTTGTCAGGTGATTGTTAAGATGAGTAATGTATTACGTCACCGGGTTTTGTCGTGCAGAGCTAAGTACATTGTCGTGGTTGCTTCCCTGACTATTAGTATGAAGTTTTTTTTTTTTTTTTCTCTCAACTGTAATAATGGCCAACTCTATGTCAGTGTGAGGCATCTTCTGACTGATGGAGCAATGGTTCAGTGCGTTCCAAATTTGCTCATTCAATCCATGCATGAATCCAGTGGGGATCAACTTCAGGATCCCATGCTGCTATGGTTAGAAGAACATGGTCGCTGCTTGGAAAGTGACATTATGAGCATTGTTGTCAAAATCTAGATTTAAATCTTAAAATCTTACGATTTTACGATTTCAGCAAGACATTTCGTGTAAAATTTATACTAAAATCTGAAATTTATAAAATTTAGAGATTTCACGGTAAAATTTAGATTTTATCGTGAAATCAGGTAAAATCTCGATTTTACCTTCTGTTTGGCAGCTGAACTTTTAGCCTATTTCCTTTTGGGCTTCTTATCTTGGGTTAGTGAGTTTTGACTAGATAACTCATAAATTAAGCTCATTTTTCATTTTAAAAGCCCACAACTCATACAACCCAACCACAAATCAACATTTTAATTAGGAATTTGGGACAAATTTGATTTAACCATCTAAAATTTTAAATTTAAGTCATCTTCTTCATTTAATTTATTTGTGTTGTTGGATATTTAGATTTTAATTAG